ACGGAACTCATCCCCGAAGCTTTGCTGGATCGGAGCCCGGGGAGCGTCATCCAGCTGTACGTGTGCTAAGAACTCGGAGGTGCCGGAGTAACGGTGCTTGGATCGGTCGGATCGGGAAGACGTACGACTACTTCCTCTATGTTGTGTCAACGCTTCCGCTGCGATCTATAAGGGTACGTAGATCATACTCTCCCCTCTCGTTGCTATGCATCACCATGATCTTGCGTGTGCGTAGGAAATTTTTTGAAATTACTACGTTCCCCAACAGTAGTTTCAATGGTGAACATCACTATGTTGATCATATCTACTATATGATTCACGCTCGACCTTTCGGTCTCCGTGTTCCGAGGCCATATCGGTTATATGCTAGGCTCGTCAAGTTTAACCTGAGTATTCCGCGTGTGCAACTGTTTTGCACCCGTTCTATTTGAACGTAGAGCCTATCACACCTGATCATCACGTGGTGTCTTAGCACGAAGAACTTTCGCAACGGTGCATACTCAGGGAGAACACATATAATTTGATAATTTAGTGAGGGATCATCTTATAATGCTACCGTCAATCAAAGCAAGATAAGATGCATAAAAGATAAACATCACATGTAATCAATATAAGTGATATGATATTGCCATCATCATCTTGTACTTGTGATCTCCATCTCCAAAGTACCGTCATGATCACCATCGTCACCGGCGTGACACCTTGATCTCCATCGTAGCATCGTTGTCGTCTCGCCAATCTTATGCTTCCACGACTATCGCTACCTCTTAGTGATAAACTAAAGCATTACAGTGCGATTGCATTGCATACAATAAAGCGACAACCATATGGCTCCTGCCAGTTGCCGATAACTCGGTTACAATACATGATCATCTCATACAATAAAATTTAGCATCATGTCTTGACCATATCACATCACAACATGCCCTGCAAAAACAAGTTAGACGTCCTCTACTTTGTTGTTGCAAGTTTTACGTGGCTACTACGGGCTTCGCAAGAACCGTTCTTACCTATGCTTCAAAACCACAACGATTGTTTGTCAAGTTGGTGTTATTTTAACCTTCGCAAGGACCAGAGGTAGCCACACTCGGTTCAACTAAAGTTGGAGAAACTGACACCCGCCAGCCACCTGTGTGCAAACCACGTCGGTAGAATCAGTCTTGCGTAAGCGTACGCGTAATGTCAGTCCGGGCCGCTTCATCCAACAATACCGCCGAATCAAAGTATGATATGCTGGTAAGCAGTATGACTTATATCGCCCATAACTCACTTGTGTTCTACTCGTGCATAACATCAACGCATAAAACCTAGGCTTGGATGCCACTGTTGGGGAACGTAGTAATTTCAAAAAAAATTCCTACGCACACGCAAGATCATGGTGATGCATAGCAACGAGAGAGGAGAGTGTTGTCTACGTACCCTCGTATAATCTCATAGTCATAGGAACATGTATAAGTCATGAAGAAAGCAATAGCAACAAACTAAACGATCAAGTGCTATGCTAACGGAATGGGTCAAGTCAATCACATCATTCTCCTAATGATGTGATCCCGTTAATCAAATGACAACTCATGTCTATGGTTAGGAAACATAACCATATTTAATCAACGAGCTAGTCAAGTAGAGGCATACTAGTGACACTCTGTTTGTCTATGTATTCACACATGTATTATGTTTCCGGTTAATATAATTTTAGCATGAATAATAAACATTTATCATGATATAAGGAAATATATAATAACTTTATTATTGACTCTAGGGCATATTTTCTTCAATGAGTGTATGCACGTATACAAGAGCGCGGCACATTGCACCCCATTATTTTGAAGGTCAAAAATATGGTCTTTTGTGGTCTGGAAAAAGCCAAAAATTTCAATGCATGCATGTACACTGCCGTAGCATAACTTTGCCAATTTCATCAATATATTTGCTTGCATGTATGAGATATAAAAGAAAAGTATAGATACATGGAAAAATAGCTTGTTTTTTTGTTGATTTTGGGCTGGAATTTAATATTCTTGGTGTAGCATATAATACAACATATTACCTCTATCCCAAAAAACTTTCGTAGATTTATCTATATACGGATGCATCTAATACTAAAATGTGTCTATATACATTTGTATTTAGGCAAATGTAAAACAATCTTTTCAGGGCGGAGGGAGTATTATTTTGGGCCGAAATTTAACATGTACTTAGACCACGTACATCAAACGTATTCAATATCCATGCTAAAAGAGTTAAAACTTTTAAGCACCATACTTCAGGGGTTAAAAAATGTATTTCAGTGCCCCGTGCTACAAAAGTCCACTTTACAGTTAGCCCCAACACTAACCATCAGCTGATAAAACATGAGCGAACCAACCTGTGGTTGTACAGTTAGGAGGACAGCGGTATCCTCAACCCACCAGGGTTCAAGTCATGATGCTTGTATTTTTCTGGATTTATTTCGGGATTTCCAGTGATGTGCATTCAGTGGGAGGAGACGTTCCCGTCGACTACGAGGTGTCTATGGTGACTTTGTCAATCTTAAAATTATATGTCATCTTATTCTCTCGGAAGTGCTCATAAGCGTTTGTTGGGCAATCAGCTAAGAAGTCGCTGACCGGAAAACTTGGAGTCTTGGAGAGCCAACTTTCGGTAACAGTCACAGTGCAAGCACACTTAGCACATGAGCTGGACCATTACTTTCCTTCTTTACATGCTGAATTACAAAGGAATTGAAAGTATGCGCTAGCTCTTCAATTTGAAATAAAACAGGTGCCACAACAGAGCGACCGTTGAGCGAGAGTTCTAGAGATAGACGATCTCTAGACTATTCGTCTCTATCATATCACCACATCAGCAAAGCCGCAAAGATTTGTCAAGATAACTCCATCACGAAGTGCTAGTGCTTCAGCGATCATTGGATCTGTGACCCCTGGGTGAGGTTTATACATTTATTTGAATCCGCGAACAAGTTTTGAATATCTTGAACTTCTGTAAATTCTTAAATATTTTTTTATTTGTGACTAATTTTCAAATTTATGAACATTTATTAAATCCGTGAAACTTTTCAACTCGTTAACAATTTTTCTACTTTGAGAACATCTTTCAAACCATGCGTAGTGGCAAAAGAAACAAAAGGCTCAATCCGTGCTAGGGGTGACTAGCGATCCATGTGTGCACCAATGGGCCAGGCCAACTCATGAATCTACTATAACTCTATAAGAAGAAAAGGCAACAAATGATATAAAACAAGGATGCACAAAATACTATATACTAACCAATTTGAAAATAGCAAGATAGTTATAATAATGGAGCCGGCATAAATGAATAAAACCCAAAAGTGTTTTGCTTTTCTTTGTAGCCGCATATATAGTGTTGCACCAAGGTGCTCTACATTTAACTTAGTGATATGATTACAAGCCAAATATATTCCTAGATACTAACAAATGGTTTGTTCTGGACCGAGATACTAGCTGGTAATGCCCATGTAGTTACTGTCACACATATGCAAATATAAATAATACTACACAATAAAAAATAAATCGGGAAATGCAGTTGCTTCAATACGTGGTTATGGTGGTTTTCATCTTGGTTGGGGGCTCATGATTCTACCGCATGAAGAAATGGCAACATCATAGAAAAACAATATGCACACAATACTATATACGAGCCAGTTTAAAGAAGCTTCTTGCAGAAAAACTAGTTTAGAGAAGCACACTATTAGTCGTAAACTAATGGAGCTAGTGTAAGTGAATACAAACTGAAAGTGTCCGCTTCACTTGTTGCCGCACACAGTGTCGCGCCAAGACAACCAAAAGGCTCCAACACGAAATGAATGCCATGGTGATTTCACTGGATGAGTTCCTCTTGTTACTTAGCAATATGATTACTCGTCTAAAAAAAGCATTATGATTACAAGAAAAATATAGGGCCGATTACTAGCTTATGTTTTTTGTTTCCAAAGTAATCGTGTGAAATCTTACCCAGAGACTCTATCTACCATCCAATTTGATTGCACGAGACGTAGCTGGCAAGCCTATATCTACCGTCCATGAAGTAACGGAAGCTACGCAGACAAAAAAAGTTTGTTTTGCTTTTCCGCGAAGTACAACCCCGAGCCAAATTAGGACATACTATGCCCCAAGCCCCAAACACGTGGCATGGAACCAACGTCCCATTTTTTACCATGGTTTACCATTGGTTTATGAAGCCATGTGCTGGCAATGCTCATGTAGTCAGTGTCACGAATTTAATAAATGTTCATAAATTTGAAAAGTTGTTAACGAGTTGCTCTAAAGTTGTTTTGGCAATGCTCATGTAGTCAGTGTCAGAGCCACGCAGGAAAAAGACTTAACTGAGATACTCAGTTGCTCTACTATACGTGCTTATGGTGGTTTTGTGTTGGCTGGAGGCTCATTATTCTACTGTATAAAGAAAATACAACAAACGGTTAGAACAGCGAGCACATATATATTAACCAATTTAAAAGAGCGGAGTATTTGTAAAGTATCGGAGTTTAGTATAAATCAATATACACCAAAAGTGTTCCCTCGGCTTTGTAGCCGCACATAGTGTCGCGTCAACACAACCAAGAGGCTTCAATGCACCATGCACGAAACCAATGGCGTGTTGATTTCACTCCATGAGTTACCTTGTAAATTACTGAAATGATTATGAGCTAAATATAGAACCGGTCACTGGCACACGTTCGAACCTATCTACTGTCCATATAGGAAACAAAAACTACAGACAAAACAAAGTTTGTTTTGCTTCTTCACAAAGTATAACCCCGTGCCAAATTAACCTAAGGCGCAAATGCCCCAAGCCCCAGACACGTGGCACGGAATCGGTTTACTGTGGATTTTTGTAACCATGAGTTTGCAATGCCAAAGTAGTCACTATCACCTATATAAGCATGACACCTTCCATCCATTGATCCATCCAAGGCGTGGCAGCAAAGCTATTCCTATTGCCGCTTGTTTTTCCCTTCAAACGTTCACCTCGCGCCTAACATGGGGTCTCGGCAGGACCAGCCCGCCGTCAACGGGGAGCAAGGTGACGGCGCGGGGGCAGCCTACGTGCGGTACAGGGAGTGCCAGCGCAACCATGCCATCGGAATCGGCCGCTACGCCGTCGACGGCTGCCAAGAGTTCACGGTGTTAATGGGCGTCGACGAGGCTGCCATGCTCCTCTGCGCGGCGTGTGGCTGCCACCGCAACTTCCACAGGCGCGAGGTCGTCAACGAGTTCGGCGTCGACTACCATGCTCCCCGGACGCCCCCCGCCGACGAACATCGCCGTTGAAGCCATGAAGCCTATTGCTGCTGCTGCTGCCGCCTCTTCTTGCTCATCGTGAATTAGATCTAGCTGGAGCATGCATGGCCCATGCACGGCTGGTAGCATTTTATTTCATCTTCTTTGTCATCTTATGAAATTAGTGTGGATGAATAATACGCGGGGGATGTCCCGTCCGCGTAGATCGATCGATGTGATGAACCTCTTCTTTGAATTCGAATTTGATTTCCCTTGTGCCTTTTTACTTGATGAGGTTTGTTCTTCACTACAGTAACTTTCCAGAGTCTGAAAATAATAAATTTATAGTTACTCTCATTTGCTTTAATCAAACCGATTTCGGAGCAATGTCACCAGATCACCACATCGAGGAACGACCTTTTCTCTTTGGGATATATATCAATCTGCTGTTTCTCCAAGCTACTCGCATCGTCGCGCACGTACGCTCCTCATTCTCCTGATTATAATTAAGTTGGACCATATTATGCGCGCAGGGCGGCTTGATGATTAATCATGTTCTAGCAAGTTGAAACCGACCTCCTTGTGTGTTACCGTGAGACTAGTGCTGTAAGAATGTACTCCCTCTGTCATATAATATAAGAGCATTTTTATAAAATAGAGAGTACTTATTTTGGATGGACGCCGCAACCTTTTTCTCTTTTGATTGGAAGAGTGGACGCCGCAAGTAGCTGAGCTCCGGTCCAAAGCCCGCCCACATGCTCCCAAGTCCTGTCCGGCTAGTTTCCACAAGGCAATGGCAAGGCTGCCATTGCTATACCATGCGTCCATGCCTACTGCCAGCAGCACGCATTTTGTTGGTTTCTGGATATTCCAGGAATAATTTTGTTTGTTTCTAGATATTTCCTGCTCGCTACTTTTGGTCCTTCTTTAAATTTACTTTTTGATTTAAAAATTAAACGAATATTTTTCATATATATAATGATTTTAATGCATGATAAATTTTTAAGTAAACTATAAACAACTTTAAGCACATGATGAACATTCTTGTAAATGCATGATGAACAATTTTCTAATGCGTGATAAACATTTTAAGAAAAAACATGAACCATTTTTTATGAGCATGGTGAACTGCATTCAGTAGAGGCTGGCTCCTCGCCTAGCGCCGCGGGCCACTCCGGCCGCGGCGGTCACCAAACCGTCGGCCGCTACTCCGGCAGCTGACGGCCACAACACGCCCCATCTGCCGAATCGCGCTCTCCCCCATGGCGCTCTCAGATCTTAAGTTTGAGATGGGATTGGCTTTTGAAGCTTACATCTGGAAGCAGTTTGGTGTTCCTGTCAATCACTTCGATGGGAGCAAGCTGCGTGAGTTCATTTTGTGGCAGAGATTTCCAGATCCAGGCTTCGTATCAACTGTGAGTCCGTTAGTCTCATTTTGCAATCTTGCTTTGGAGGTCACGCCTCCCGTTTCAAAGTCTCCTGTCTGCAAAATTGGTCTTTCAAGTTCAGTGTGTCCTCAAAAGAAGTTGGATTTGCCATCATGAAGGGGGGAAATTTTGTTAATGATCTTTTGAGCTTGGGTTTCCTTTTCTGGGGTAATGGTGGTCCTGATTATCAAAAGGAGTTTCGTCTATACCAACAAGAGCTTGATCAAGAATGGACAGTGGTTGATCGCTCCAGCGATCGTAGATCATATGCCGATGTTGCCCAATCTGCAAGATTCTTCTCCTCTCCTCGCGAACATCAAGTTCCCGAGAATCAGCGCTCGATCCCTGTCTCAGCAAGATTGACGCAATCATCGCCGGCCATCAATGCTGCATTAACTTCCCCAAACAACATTACTGTAGGCAGAGCGGGATCTTTGGGTTTTCAAATTCCTGGGCCATCCAATGGGCCTAACAACACATCTGGAGGGGCTACAAAAGGCAACTTTTCCATCCGGTGCCTATCTGTGGGCCATCTGCGGCCCAGCTGCACCAGTCGTATTAGATGCAGGGGTTGTTGGCGCCTGGGCCATATTAAAGATAATTGCCGTTTTTCGGGCACGGTTAACACTACGACTTCCCATAGTGATGGCACTTTTCAGCAGCATATCTACCCTGTTTTGGCACCTACCCAAAATAGAAATCAAGTGTTAGGGCGGGCCCCCAATGTCAAGGATACATGCATCCCCCTCTCGTCATCTCCGTCTTGACTTGGTCCACTTCACAGCCACACTACACCCCAGACGACTCGCATTCCCACCGCTTTCTACAACTGCGGCACAACTCCTTTGCTCCGGTAGCCTTCTCCGCCGAAGTTCCGAGCCCATCCGCCCCCGATCCTATGGCCACTTTCCCCTTTGATCCATCACCGTTCCTTCCTGCGGGCTGTCACGCCATTGAAGTTGAAGGTCGACCAGCACGTGTTAGAGTTTTCCATCGTGACCTGCTCCCGGCTAATGAGGATTTGGCCATCGCAACCTTGGTCCCCATGCCGCAAGGTGAAGTCGTTTTCGCCAATATCAGGGAAGTTCTCTTGGAGTTTCTCTTATCTAGGCGTATGGGTTTCAAGGCCATTACCAGATGTCCTTTTGGGCAGGCTTTTGTAAGGCTTAATAGTGCAGCAGATAGAGATGTTCTTGTTAATGGGAGCCCTTTCCCTTATGATGATGTGCATGTGGTCTTCCAAAGACATAATGAAGGTCTGAATTGGAAAAATTACAGTCTCAATAGAGATGTTTGGCTCTTGCTTGTGGGTTTTCCAGCAGATCTGCGCAACTTTCATGAATTATCCAATGCTACAGCTAGTTTTGATAGGCTTTTGTCTTGGGATAGAACCAAATCTTCAGATGCTGCAGTTGTCGTCAAAGTCAGAATTGATGCCCTCACACACATCCCCATCAGTATTCTGGTTTCAGGTGGAAACAATCTGTTAGGTCAATCCTAGACATGTCCAGTTGTCATTTTTCAAGATCAACTTTTAGGAGGTGGAACTGCAGAAGAAGATCCGATACCTGTGGATGGCAATCCACACCCACGCCCCCCAGAGCAGTTCCACCACCCAAACCAACATAATCTATTTTTGGGTCCCGTAGCTTTCAATCCAGAAATTCACCTGCAGCAGGATCAGAACCACCATAATCAGGAACATGACATTGAAGCCCATGTAGAGCAAGTCGCAGAGGATGAGTGGGACCACTGGGCTATGCCTCCAGCTCAACAAAATAATGTCCCTGCAGTTCAGGCAGGGGACCTGATTGCCCTAAATGATTTGATGGATCCGTTGGAAAATCAAATTGTAGATCAAGTCATGGAAGAGGGTAACAGTGGCATTACCCTTTCTCTAGGGCTGCCTGATATTAGTGCTAGCTCAGAAGAATCTGTTGGTGGAAGGAACAATGAGCCTCTTGAGCTACTTGCACCAATAGTGCCACCTGTGCTCCCAATTCCTCAGATTGGTTTTGATCTCAATTTGCCTGTTCAGTTTGATCGGCCTCTTGAGCCTCTGAATGCCCCCAATCCCAGCTCAACATATCCTACCTCCTGCGTTTGAGCAACCTAAGATCAACTTTCATAATCCTGAGACTTTGTTTCCTGAAATTGGTAAGGGGACTGTTTGCCTTATACCACAACTGAATGACACAAATCAGACAGAGAAAGGGGCAGATGAGCTGCAAAGTGCTCTCTCTTTGGTCGTTGATTCTGAACTAGCACCAATTCCACAGTTTGCTGCACCAACAGATGCTCCTCAGTTGCCCTTGAAGAGACAATTCTGCAAAAGGATGCTCAGATTATTGCAGATGAAGTAGGACAATTTACTTCAGACACTACTGTCCAAACAGATATCAACACTCTCCTAGACCCAGTTCTAACAGATCTACTGCCAATGCAAGTCACTAATGCTGATGCAGAAAATGAGGTTCTCAACAACACTATGCAGAATTCAGGTACCTCATCAGATGAGCCACCACCTGGTTTTCCTGTTCCTCTTTTCAAGAACAACATAACTGTGGGTGCTGTTCACTTGCCAGATGTGGCAGATCTTGTTATTCAGGCCAAGATAGCTGGCAGCAAGGAGATCGTGGGAGTGGAAGGCATTGCCCTATGGCAGAAACATTTTGCCCCAACAGAAGCTACTGACAATACAATCCAGGTATCAGAGGAATGGGCTGACTTCATCACTTTAGCATTGTTAACACCTGATAATTTTGAAAGGGCTAAAGCTTTGCTCTCCTCTCAGTTATGGCATTATATTTTAGAAGGGGCAAATAAGTCACAATGCAGACCTTTTGTTATGCCTGTCGCCTATCTTTCTCAGCATGCTCCCAATTGCAAAATGCAGGAGATGGAACAAGTAGCTTCTTCTGTAACAGCTTTCTCCACACCCCAGAGCAAACCTGCTGTAGCACCAAAACCAATTCTGCCTTCCACCACAACAACCGTCTATGTTTCCAAGAAAAGGAAGGAGAAAGCACATCTGGTTGATACAGAGGTAAGAAGGAGTGATAGGTTACAATTACTCAATAATGGTTTCAGAAAACAGACTTGCCAGACCAAAAATTGCTTACCCTGTAATACTGTTCCTCCAAATATTACTCCTAAGGTGGTTAAAAATCTTTCCGTCTCCTTCTGCAAGGCTGCTGCTCAGGATTGTTCAGAAGAGATGTTGCAGCAACCAAAGAAGAAGAAACAGGGGAAAGATGGTAATGCTTCTACTACTGGACTGCAGAAGAAGAAAGTTGGGGCAAAACCTTGAGAGACTACACTTTTCATAAGATAGTTAATTTACAGTGCTTTGCAGCTTAGACATCTTTGCTTAATGTACGAAATGAACTCAGTGTGCTTGCTAACTCCTATCAGTTTAATGTCTAGTTTGCGCTCGAAACTCTTTGCCTGCATTGAATTTGAGGGTGTTGTAAGATATAAGACAAACTCATATATTTGGAGGTATCAGCTAGAAACAATATTGTTTGGTCCCTTTTGTGATCTAAATTGGATAAGAACTGTTTGCCCCATGAAAGATTGTTCGGCATTCCAAAAGATAATTGATCCGCAGAACGTTGTTTTCCT